CAGCTCCGTGTCCTCAGGGACCTCCTTTGCTTTGGCCTTGGTGACCTTCAGCCACCCCTTCCAATCCAGCTGCACCCACCTGAGGGTGGGAATTCAGATGCTCAACCTGATGGACCTGCCCCAACTCTGCTTCCAGAGCAGCATCTTCCCTGGGCTGAGTTCAGGGAGGGGTTTGTCAGCGGTGCCTGGCAGAGGATTTCCTGGGAATCCAAACAAACCAGAGCTCCCCCAGGAACAGAACCAGCAGCAGGGCCAAGATCTCAGCAGGTTTCATTAATATCAAAGCCTTCCCCACCTTTCAACCAAACAACCATTCATCCTTCAGCAGGAACGTGCTTTCCCAAGGTTAAAGGAACAATCCAGGATTGCTTGGCCTGGTTTGGAGCTGCCGCTGATAATTCCCTTTTCTGGGATTTTAGGACGTGAAAAACAACAGGAAAACTCGCAGTCAGACAGCTGATTTCTAATCTTTAAATTAGAATGTGGATGGAAAGGAGCAGATTAATCCCTGCCTTTCTTCCAAAGCACCAACTGGGAGCGAGGGGAGAGGAGCTAAAATTCCTCAGCACCCCTGAGATAAAAAAGAAATCGAAATTTATTGCGTTTTCCCGGCTTCCAGTCGCAACAGGAGAAGAATAATATTACATTTCCTATTCATGAGAAGCGGGAAAGCCCTTCCCTTTGGCTCCTTATGTTGCAGGATAACTCAGACTGTGCAAACCCAGTTTATTTGTTTTTCAGTTCTCTGGAAGGTTCAGAAGAAAAAAAAAAGGAAACAAGACAAACAAACAAACCCGCAGCACCCCACAAAATTTGGATTAGGACAAAGTGTTATTGTTTTTTGAGGTCTTTTCTCGCAGACGAGAAAGTAAATAAAGATATTTAATTTAGGCCTCGACGTGGCCTCACTGAAAATAAACCCAATTCTTTGGGACGGAATAAATGAATGGGGGAAGGTTTGAAATGAGCACTGGGGAGAAACAACAGCGAGGGGGAGAATTTTGGTCCCAATGTCATGCTCTGAAATGCTGAGAGATCGGGGGGTTCTGCACCCCAGAGAGAGCCTGGGCCAGGGCCTGGGGCCTTTAGGGACAATGGGCACAAACTGAGATGCCCAACCAACCCATTTTGGGTAAACACACACAAATCTTCAATTAAAATAACCCCTTTCCCTGGCAAACAAGCTCATTTATTAAAAAAAAAACAAACCCCCCAAGCCATTTTGAGGCGAACGGCAACACCTCGGGCCCAGAGCGAGGCCTTCACTAATAACAGTGGAAAAATCTCCCTCTTCCCCCACAAAACGTCCCATCTCCTCTTCCAAACCGGGCAAAGACAAGCTTTTAATTCACGGGGGGAAAAAAAAAAATGAAACGTCCACCCCTCAGGTCTCGCTGGTTTTTTGGGTGGGAATTGTGGGAATTTCGCTTCATCCCCTTCCAGGTTTTAACTTTGGGGTGGCATCGGCCTGCCCAGCACGGCTCAAATGGAATATTTGGCGAGGGAGAAGAGACATTTTAGGGTTTCCTGTTCTTCCCCAAAGGCTTTAATCTGGAAGCTAAATTTAAGGAAAAAAAAAAAAGGGGGGGGGGAAGAAGGAAACCAAATGCTGGCAGGGGGAGGAGTTTGGGATGTTGTTTTTTTTTTGTTCTGTTTGAATATTTTGGGTTTCCAGAGGCAGCAGATGACGCACAAATCCCAGGTGGGGGCTCATTGGGTTGGCTCAGCTCCATGTGGGGCTGTCCAGGTCACCTCATGGGTCACAATCCATGGCTGGGACACCCTTGGGGACAAATAATCCCTGTGAGTTGTCCCAGGAGGAGAAGAAGAAGCTCAACCTCCACTGAACTGTTCTAAAGCTAAAAATTAACATTTTTAGAGGGAAAAAAAAAAAAGGGGGAATTTGGGGTTTTTACACATAAAAAGTGGGTCGTTATTGCTGAAAAAATTTTGGACTTTATGATTTATTTTTTTTTTTACCTTTTTCTTTGCTGAGACTTTCCTTTGGACTCTCAACCCTGACGTGTTCCCACTACCCAGAAATTCTTGGCACATCTACTGTTCCCCCTTGTGTTCTTTAGTCCCTGATTCAAGACTTACAACCAGCCTTAGACACGTCTAATTAAATGAGAGAAATCAATTAAATGAGAGAAATCAATTAAATGAGGTTAAAAAATTAAATTAGATAACTCAATTAAATGAGATAAATTAAATTAGGTGATGAAATCACAGCTGATTTCTCTCCACTGAACAAGATCTTGCTGATCTGTGGTAGCAAACATTTGAATATTCCACTTGACAGTGGATATTCCAGGACATTTCCAATGGAAATGAAACCCAAGAAAACCAGGGAACATCCTGGTTCTGGTCTCACAGTGTGTCTTCCTCACTGATTAATCCATTTATATCCCGGGATTTCCATCCTTTAGGGATGGAGCTGCAAGGTGGGAGAGGGAACAGCAGATTCCAAACTCAAGGTGCTGATCCAGAATTCCTCTCATCCACTAAGACTCCTGGATACCTCTGGAACCTGCATTTTTCCCTTATTAAAATGTCAATTAAATGAATATTAAGGAGAGAAGAAAGTTGGAGAAATCCATGAATCCCTGATAAATCAACGCCCTGACGGGTTCCCTGATGGGAACCTGCCAGTTTATCCCAGGAAAACAACAGGCTCCTGAAACACCCTCAGGGATGTGATGGGCAAAGGAGAGGAAAACCCAGGTCCCCACTGCACTGTAGGAAGTTCCAAATGTGTTTTCCTCATTCCCAAAGAAATCCAGAGGCTTTAAAGTGAGAGAGGTGATGGGAGGGTTGAGTTCCACTCCAGTGGGATTTGCCCAAGGATTTTCATCAGCTTCTGCCCACCTGGATTGGAGTCTTTGCAGCCTCACCTTGAATTCCAGGACAAAAGGAAAGGTGGGTTTGTGGCTTGGAGGCAGGAGAGGAGAATCCAAAGCTTGGAATCCAAAGCTTGGCTCTACCACAGACCCTCCT